AAGCTTACTTAGACTTCTACGAGAAAATAGAAGAGATCGAATTCTTCCCATCAGGATATAGGTATGAAACAAAGTAATTGAAATAATTTCCATCCTTTCCAGAAATAGTCATGAGCAAAAACTTATTTTTATTGGTAAATCAGCTTTAGTATGATCTACAGGATTGTCAATATATACATTCCATCAAATGTAAATAGACATTTCATCTCGATTCCTATTGCAATTATTCGAAAAAAAGATTGTAGCATCTTAGTGGTTGTTAAAATATTCGCTTCATTTGCCCCTGTCCACCATATGGAAATTCTATAATATTTGTTTTATATATCTAATAGTCATCACTGTCATAGATTCTCCGTAAATGGAAAGGGACACATGAAATGGATTTTCAAACGATGTTACAACTATTCGAATTACAAAATTGAGCTTTTCTCAACAATTTCAAGACGCGTTGCGAGCAAACCTGAAAATCAGCCAAACATCCTCGATACTGAAACCTGATCCTGAAACCACCCTCAATCCGAACGCTAATCCACCCCCCAACCTCGAACCTCCCCTAGTTGAAGCATGCGATTGGAGGAGGGGCATCTCCGCTATCCACCAATCGGCGTCTCCCTACCGACAACAAGGGAGCGTCGCGTAAATCTAGGACGCGTCGAAAGAACAAAGGGTCGATAAAGCTCCTACGCGACGGCGCAATCAGGGAATTTCCTGACAGTTCACAGTTCGTCCTGTGGCGCCCGAGGACGAGGTCTATACGGCAGTGTGCGTAAAAGTGCGGGAAAGCTCGGGAAATTTTTCGAAGAAAATGATCAGCGGTACTAGGGACGGAGTCGGGTTGGAGATCGAGATGTTCAGAGTGCCTCCCATTTCCATTGACGATTTGCCTGAGATGCTTCTGAGTAAGTACACTGACTTACATCCAGTTCCAAAGAAACGCAACATTCAAGACTCTGTTGGTTGATCTGCCTATAGGCACACTGTTTGTGGATAATCTTATACTTTTTATAAGACTCTACTTGACTTGAGGAGGTAATTTTTTTGCAGTAAGCGAGATATAACACCTGTTGGATAGATGGAGTATCTCCTTCCAGATGTATTTAGCTTTGGTCAACCACCGCAGTACTATGCGTTAGCAGTTTCGTTTCCTGTATTGCAAATCCTACATATATTTCTATATTGTCTTCACCTTCACGTCTTATACAAGTTACATAATATCTTAGAGACCAATAGTAAGAAGGCCTGGTCTATAGATTCCAGTCTCCTAATATTGAATTTATTGGGTTTTCTATTCCTTTATCGTGCTGTTGGCTTCAATGTACAGGTTTTCCAAGTCAAATATTCAGGTCCGCTCAAAGCCAGCGCGAATCACTCGTGCTTTCGGCCGTTTCATCACTCGATACTTGGATTAATTGATCTGGTTGCTGATATTTGGAACTTTCAGAAGGTTTTTTCAATTATTATCTTCAGTCTTCAAACCACTGGCTCATATTTGTTATACATTTCAATTATCAACCCTTACCGTTGCATAACTTAATGCGTTCTGAAAAGAATACAGAGATATATAGGTACTGTAGGTATAAGAGGGGCAAAATTCTCGTATCATTCCCTGGGAAGAAAATGTGACATATTTTCTCCCTAGGGAGTTTATACCAACTTTACATTTTCCGTGTAGCTCTGCGAGTAGCTCTGCGCTTTCTTTTCGGAAAACCCTTCTCTGAAGTAGTGATTCACACGAGACCAACGAGTCGAGACTTTCATAAAGTCTCGTCTCGTCTCGCCGATAAAATATGAAGTCTTGTCTCGAGTCTCGTCTCGCAGCCCCGAGTCTCGTACGAGAGTCTCGCAAAAGTATCGCAATTTCGTCATGCATAATCTTGTTTCAGTCTAGTACGGGATATTTACCTTTACCTACATTTTAGGTGTAATGTAGAAGTAGGAATTGAAAATTACAACAAAAATAACAGTATTTATTGATAAGTAAGTATAACTACCTAATAGGTACATACTTACATCATACATCTAAACAAGAATAAAAAAACATAGCATTATATATTCCAAAGTTATAAAAATAAAATAAAAAGTAACACGTATATTCTAAACAAATAAACAAAACAAAAACTTCAATCCAACATTGTTTAACTTATTTGAGCAATAGGTATCTAAGAATATAGTTATTTGTTTTACTAGGCAGAAAAGTAATCAATCTGCATTTGCTGCGGTGTGAAACAGAATGTTTTCTCCAAATGATATAAAACCAATTTTGTGTACTTCTTTTATTGAAAACTCCACCATTTTGTGTTCACCCAATGTCAGTGTCAATTTTGATTACTAATTTCATTAGAATTTCTTGGAACGGTGCATAGCAACAAACTTTTTCTGCCTACGCAGTAAAAGTACACATTTTCTGCCTGTAAAGAAGCAGGAAAAAGTACTATCCTTGCCGATTGAAGAAAAAAAAAACCTTTATCAGTCAGATCAACCTTCACGACCGCAAATGTTTTTGTTTTTCACCCAATCATTAAGACATAACAAACATCGTGCAGATTCATTATTAAGGCGATTCCGATGTTTTCTTATAGAATTTTATCTAAATATGTTTTAGCATGAATGAAATTCTCAATTGTGCAGTCGGCTCGCAGGAATATTTACTTGCGAGACTCTCGCACGAGACACGAGAAGTCTTGTACGAGACTCGAGACGAGACACGAGAAGTCTTGTACGAGACTCGAGACGAGACCAATAAAAGTCTCGTCTCGTCTTGTCCGAGTCTCGTCTCGAGTCTTGTCTCGAAAACGAGACGAGACCATGCGAGACTCTCGAAAACGAGACTCACGCGGGCAACACTACTCTGAAGCGAGTATAAGCTGCATCATACAGATTTCTAGATCTCACTGGTAGCAAATTAAGAATCACTGCAGAAGCAGTAGCAATAGTTTCTTGGGGTTTTCCCTCGATTTCTCGTTCCATAACCGTTTACCATTTTCAATGCTATTTTCATTAATGTCAGTTTGATATTTGCTGTCACTATGGGTTGTCAACAGGATACATGTTGTCAAGATACGAATTCCACAAACTATACTACCATACTAATTATGACAAAACAGCATAAAAAATAGTATATATACACCTCAGGACAGAAGACAGAATGGTATTTTTCCCTCGGTGCTTTGTATCTCTAGGGCTTCGCCCTCGAGCTACAAATCGCACCTTGGAACTTGTCCATTACTGCTTTCTAATACCTTGGCAACGGTTGCTATCAACAGACCCATAAGCGGCAAAGAGCCAGTTGCAAATTTTCATTGGAAATGACCAACTCAGTGAACAAGTCAAAAACCTTGGTCTGAATTTAGACTCAAAGTCAAGGTTTGAGAAACATGTTACAATGAAAATTAGAACAGCTTATGCTTCTCTTAAACTTTTGTATCCTCATAGACATAACATGAATCCACTTACAAAGAAAATGTTATGCGATTCTTTGGTGTTGTCTCATTTCAATCATTGTGATACAGTATATGGACCTTTTCTACGCAAATCAGATGCATATCGCATACAGAAAGTCCAAAATTCATGTCTTCGTTTAATCCATGGAATAAGAAAAAGAGATCGTGTATCTCATAAACTCAAGGAAATGGGTTGGTTGAGTATGTACAATCGTCGTAGACTTCATTCGTATTGCCTTTTCTATAAAGTACTGAAAACTAAACAGCCAGAGTATCTCTTCAGGAAAATCACGTATAGGACTGATATTCACAATTTAAACCTGAGAAGAAAGCATGGTATCAACATACCTTCGCATAATAAAGAAATTTATAAGTCATCTTTTTCCTATCAGATTGCGACTGTGATGAGCCATTCTCTGGATATACCGAATTTCTCCCTATCATTGAATTCATTTCAAAATAAATTTAAGAAAAAATTCCTTTCACAGCAGTGATACGAAACGAAGAAAAAAATCAATCAATAATAGTTGATTTATAATATATTATTATGATAGAGTTCATCTTCTGGAAATTATATCGCCTCGATATACATTTACTTGAAAGACATAACTTATATTATTAGTATTTTTGTTTTGTTTTTGTTTCTAGGGGAGTGTGGAAGAATCGCTCTTACTGACCTATCACTTCACCTTTTGTTTGCCACCTATACCTTTTTTTTGTACTAACATAATTGTTCAAACATGGAATTTGTTATTTTGTTCATTGGCAGACAATAAACGATTATTATTATTATTATAACGCCCTGGGCGTTATGGAGGGAATTATGAATCATATAACGCCCGCTAATTCGTATTCATTTTAATAAGAGTAGAATGAGTCAATGGCGGATCCAAGGTGGGGGCCATAGGGGCCATGCCCCCATCCCTCACAAGCCTCATGGATATGTAAAACTGTAGATATGCTGAATACCACCTCAGAAGGTATCAATTAAAATTCCTTTCTTCTTCAAGCGGCAGCGAAAGTGGCTTTTCTCTGACAATTAACATAAGGCAGGAAATGTGTACTTTCTCTGCCTAGACAGAGAACGTGTGTTGCTATGCAACATTCTGAGAAATTTCGATGGAAATGGTGATAAAAATTGACGAAAAAATCACAGAAAAATGGTTTTATAAACATTTGGAGGAAAAATTATATGTTTCACAAGGCAGTAAATGTAGATCATCCACAATTCACAATGATTATTTATGTGGCCATTGCGGCCAAACTAGCATGATGTCTCAGATTTATCTTTCATCAGTTTCCCATTGATATCATAGAAGAGAACACTAATTAAAAAATTCAAATAACTAATTATTTCTCATTTGTACATACATCCCCAGAATATAAAATTTTCAACTAGATTTTGAAAACCAACATGAAAATGAAATCATAATACCGACTTAAAACAACCCCCCTCCCACCACAAAAATCGCCTGGATCAGCCCCTGGAATGAGTAATGGAAAGTAACCAATATTCTAGATTCAAGTTACAAATGTTATTTTTTCACTGAATATTTGTTTTCAGCCACCATTCCGAAATGTGGGGGATGCCATGAGCTGATCCTCGATAGATTCATCTTGAAAGTAGCCGACAGAACGTGGCATGCCAAGTGTCTTCAATGTAGTGACTGTCGAGTGCAACTGACGGATAAGTGCTTTGCGCGAAATGGCCAACTCTTCTGCAAAGACGACTTCTTCAAGTAAGTATCATATCTCTTTCACAATAGAAATAAGTAAGCGTTGAATATGTATCTCAATGCCAAATATATGTTTTTTCTGTGACGGGAAAAAAGTTTGCCATTTCATCTCTGTTGGCAGATAAAATGTCACTTTTTTCAAATTACTTCTTCATCATGCGAAAGAAGTGAGTAATTTTTTCTAAGATACATAGGTGCACTGTTGACGGCTTTTGTTAGTTTTTTTGGGCCAGTTCCGAAAAATAAGCCAATAACACCGTCTGCGAGAAGGAGCCGAATGTCCTATTTATCTTCCATTAGTTTCATTCCACCTTGCGATTACGTAAATTACCACCAACCACTAAGTTCGTATTTTTTTTTAATCAAATAACATAATTAAATTGACAGATATTTGATTACTTCTGAAGGTTTCCATAGCAACAAAGATAATGCCTGCAACGCAGGTACTCTACCAGTTGAAAACTTCAAATTCCACATCGATAATCTTCTGATTTTATTGAAATGCTCAATCACAAATTACCGCACCTCAATATTTAATCGTCTTTTTTTCAGTCACTGAATTATCATACAAGGGAAAAATGTTTGTCTGTCTTCCTCCACTATGCGCGCGTGATACTTTTTTCCCTTGCTTGTATACTAAATATCTATTATTCACCAAGAATGGAAAAAAAATACCCAAATATAGAAATAGCAATCCTGAAATCAGCCCCCAGAGATCATATATTCTTCAAATGACCATTCATTATAATATTACATAGGTGATAATAGTGGAAAATTCTTTGAAATTATGGAATATTTGCTGCTTTGTCTGTCGAAGTTGATTTCTAAACCAACACAGTAGGTAATTTAGAAAAGATAATTTAGTAAATGTTATTGAGTAGGTACAGATTGAGGAACCATATCTTTCGAAAAAAATCATTCAATTCAGAATGCGATTCTTGCACAAAAATCTCCACTTTATTTATAATGCTAATAATAAAAATAATAATAATAATAATAGGAGACATACCTAGAGACCAGGGTAGCCGTGGACTCTTGAGCTTGGAGTAAATTCATATAACAGAATGATTCTGGATGGCGCCTGCAAAGTCGTCAGGAGTTCGGATCCCCTCCTGCAAATGGTTCAAACCCATGAAGAGGCAGGAGTAGGAACTTTTCTTTTTAGGGCAGCACGTCGAGCAGCCGATGAATTGTCTCTGATTTTCGACTCCGAGCGCGAGACTCAGGACTCAGTTACTGAGCTGGAACCCGCTCGGAGAAAGGCCCGCATCAAAGCTGCAGGAGTGAGAAAGCTCCTGCAGCTTCACATGGATAATCCCATGCATTCGGTCTACTTCAGGACAGTTGAAGACCAGGGCTCATCCAAAGAACTGACTTTTGCTTTTCTCAAGTCAGGCGCGCTCAAATCGGAAACAGAGGGGTTCATCATGGCATGCCAGGATGGGGTTTTTAACACTCTCGTCTATCGTAGACGTGTCATGGGTATGGAGTTCCCTGCCATAAATTGCAGGGCCTGCCGCAGGGCACCCGAGACAATTATGCACCTGCTGTCATCTGACACGGTGTATGCAGTCTTGGCCTATATCCATAGACACATTGCGGCATTCCGAGTGCTCTGCTACCATTTGAGGCACTCGTACGGAATAGACGGAACCCCAGTGCTGCCCTATGCTCCGGAGGATATTGAGTCCGTTGTGGAGAATGAGAGGTGCCGAATTTATTGGAACTTCTCATTCCTCACCGTCAGACAAATACAAGCAAACAATCCTGATGTAGTCCTCCTCGACCATCAAACCGAACCGAACATCATTTTGAAGGAGGAGGAGAAACGAACTAAATATCGAGATCTTCTCTTCGAACTCCGCAGACTCTATCCAGACCATTCTGTGGAATTGGTCATTCTGATAATTTCATGCCTGAATAAGGCACACATATTGGCTGGTGGAATGCAGAAGGCCGTCATACTTGGATCATTGCGTTTACTCAGGGCACACGGTTCTTGGTCCCAGTGATTATTCACCCCACAGGCTGTGGGGAGCAGTCACTGGATTTTATCCGAATAATATGAATTCGAATAATAACAATAATAATAATGATAAATGTACAGATGATGAACATGGTACAGTTGTAAAAAGCGTACAAGCATATATCAGAGAGAGAAATTAACGTCATATCCTATTTGAGTAAAAAGGGCTATCGGGAATGATGCTTAACCAAATGTTGACGTAAAGTTGTCATAGGTTCTCAAAAATACGAAGCATTGGATGAGCCAGTTTTACACATCTAGAACTATAGAATGAGGTAAACCTCTCTCTTTAATACTTGTGCGTCGGATTTCCGAGAAATTCTTATATGAAAGTCAAAATTTTCAGTTGAAAGTGCTTTGTCAAAAATTCGAGATACGAGTCAAAAATTCGAGATACGAGTCGAAAATTCGACATGAAAGTCGAGATAACATTCTGAATTTCGAGATAACAGTCTAAATTTCGAGGTTTTCGAGATAAACCCTCTATATACTTTGTGCAAGAGTCCATTCTCGAAGTAGAGTCAGTAGAGTAGTTCGGATGTAACAATGCAGCTTGTGTATATGTCTGGTGCTGTGGGTGCAGAAGGTTCGGCACCAAATGCGCCGGCTGCGATCTGGGCATCCCGCCCACGCAGGTGGTGAGGAGGGCGCAGGACAACGTCTACCACCTGCAATGCTTCGCCTGCGTCATGTGCGCCAGGCAGCTCAACACCGGGGACGAGTTCTATCTCATGGAGGACAGGAAGCTGGTGTGCAAGCCCGATTACGAGGTGGCCAAGAGCAAAGGTGAGAAAATGTGAGCAACTTTTACTGAACTTAGCCATATTGTTATTATCAAAAGAATGCGTCCCTAATCGTAGAATTGGACTCGGAAATCCTCCTATATGCAGATGATTGTAGATTGTTTAGGCAGACATATTCTTTAGATGACTGCGACCGTCTTCAAAATGACATCGACAAGTTAAATCAATGGTGTATAATGAACTGATTCCCTCTAAATATAAGAAAGTGTAATTATGTTACTTACACTCGCAAAAAGTTACCTATGCTTACACCATTAACGGCCAGCGTCTGCAAAAAATGACTGAGTTCAAAGATCTAGACATAATCTTCGACTCGAAACTCACCACGTGAACACTGTTGTCACGAATGGTTTTGAAACACTGGGTTTCATTATCAGAAACTCCAAATGGTTGTCTGGGATTAAAACCTACTTACTCCTTCTTGATGCGCTTGTGAGGTCAAGGTTTGAATATGGCTGCGTTGTCTGGAATCCTGGATACATCACGTATAGTGAGAGTTTGAAGAACATTCAGAGGCGATTTCTGAAGTAGGTACATCAGTTTCAGATGTGATGGCACTTATCCGATGCGGGGTATACCGCAGGATACACTTCTTTCTATATTTCAAGTCAACTCCCTAGAAGAACATCGTACATATTTGGGAATTTTATTTTTACACAAGATCTTAGTCTCGCGCATGGACTGCCCATACCTTCTTGCACGTATTAATTTGCACGTTCCTAGGCTACCTGTACGCAGTTTCAGCACGTTTCATTAGATATTTTATCAAAAAAATTCTCTCGATTTAGCAGTGGTTCCACAGATGCGTCAGTAACATGCTCATGATTTTTTTACACGCACTAAAGAAACACCCTGTATACTTACACCTATTCTCATTTCCTCAGAATCTCCTGTATGTTTATACATAAAATCTACTGGTACTGGAAAAAATAGAGTAGATAGAATCTCGTGCTGTGTGCATTTTATAGTTCGGTTCAGCCGTTTAGAAGTTATGTGAGAAAGATAAGTATGGAAGGATAATAATTATTCTTACTACTCGTTGTCATATTACCCGTTTTGCCGTAGAAATGAAGCATTATCCTGCGGTAAAAAGTCATCAGCGATAATGTCGGCTTTCAATAGTAATATAGTTTTCCAATCATATCATGATCATAATATGGTCTCATCAAATTTCGCAATTCAAGATACTCTCGTTGGACATATAAATAAAATAATAGTCGGCTATCTGCCATTTTTCGTGAAATATTACCTACGATCAAAACTATTGAAAGTATACTCATTCGTTGAAACTGAGCTAGGATCAGAAACCTCACCAGGTTCTTGGCAATAATTCAATATGAATTATTTCTCCATTATCTATCTTTGTCTTTCCTAGATATTTATGCAGATTTTTATAGAAACTGCCCAAAGGTTATCTTAGTTCATAGTAGATTATTCACACTCAAAATCAGATCAATCTGCATCTTAAACAGGCACAATATTTGGCATAGAAAACTTACTACATAAAAAGTTTTTATACTGATCAACAATAATAGTAAAAATGACAATGAGGTGTGTCGTTCTCAGAAAATTGTTCAATGCGTCATCATCTGTTTTTATTAAAATGTTGTCTCAATCAGGCATTATTTCCAATTACTTTATTGCCACTGGTGATCTAATACCACCATGATTTAAAAAGCAATAACTGTTTCCTTTTTTATACTTCTGTTTGTATTATTATTATTAGATGTAGCGAAAGGTGAATTCAGAAATCTACTGCATGCAAATCGAATGAAACATTTTTTCATCCTCTATATACGTGCATTCCCAAGATAATTGGTAGGTGTACATAAATAATTACTTTTTTCTTCATTCAACTTCCTGAAAAATCATAATAGTAAGACGTAGATGCATAAATGCTCAATTCAACACAAAAATAGTAAAGGTAAAAGACTTCACAACCTATAAGATTTCCACAAAATTCTCTATAGCACAACATGTTTTGCTAACACAGTAAGTAGTTCTTCCACGTGAAATATTCGGATAATAACTTAACCTAATGTTTACAGAGTGTTTCCGAAATTAGGGCAATAAATGAAATGGCTAATAGAAAACTAAAGAATAAAACAAAATGGAGTATATCTAAAAATTCTTAATGAATCATTAATCAGAGATTACTTTCTTGACCCAAGCGATTTGTTTCGGCAAGGTCAAAAGCACCGGAGGTATTGATGAGTAAGATGAGTTTTGCAATGTTGCCGGGCGTTCAAAAAAGATTCATAGATATGTGATATGGTGAGAGCGCACATTTTCGAAAAAATGTAAATGAAATTGGTTTTTGCGATTCTTCATGTCATTATGTCTCATACAACAGCCCATTTTATTCATCGCCTCAATCTCGAAAAGGCCCTGTATTTGTACTAACGGACACAAAGGCAGTGTTGCTAATTCAGCCATTTTATGGCTAGTTCAAGCCATTTTTACACTCATCTAGCTACTAGGTATCATCTTGCATCTAGTCATTTCGCCATTTTTCTAGCTACCTATTTTTTATTCTGATTTTCTATAAAAATATTCTCGGTAGTAATACTTTGAGAACTTCAAAATATTCGAGTTATATACATCGATAACTTGTTGCATGCCAGTTTATCAAAATAATCATCCCACTTCGTGGTCGGATTATTTCAACTGTCAAACTGACACTCTTTGTAATTATGCAGGAAGTTCGAGATGTATACCCAAGAATATTTTGAGGTTCGAATTGTTTGATGTGATTATTTTTAGAGTAGTTCTACTAGTTCTGTACGAACGTCAACATTTTACGACGCGCTTTATTTGTATGTATGTATGTTTATGTATGAATTGGTTACTATGGAAATAATTCTAAATCTCTGATTGGCGGATAATAATATTCCCATAGATATTTCATTATATTCACGATCTAATCATTCTAATCTGAGTCAAATTCAGGCCAGTCTATATTTCTAATATCTCTATGGATTTTGTGCTCCATCATGCTTTGTGCCGTTTTGACAAATTGACATTGACGTCAATGACGTCAACACATCACGTTATACGACGTCAATGTCAATACTACAATGTCAGATTCGCAGTCCCTGGTCAGATTTCTTGTTTTTACTAAAAAATGATAACGATAATCTAGCCCTTTTTGAAATTGGCTGTTGGCAACACTGCCCAAAGGATTATAATTCCCGGCAGACACGCTATAGTTCAAATCTTACATTCCGGAAAGTATGCAAAATATCTGAATTTTGAGGTTCCAAATGATTGAGTTTTTTAGGAATTTTGTTGAATTCTTATCGTTTGTGAAGTTTTCATATTGTTATTGATATTTTTAAAAATCAACCATTGCTATTTTCATAGCTGCTGAATGCTTGGACGGTGATCAACCAAACAAGAGGCCTAGGACTACAATAACCGCAAAACAATTAGAAACCTTGAAAACCGCCTACAACAATAGTCCAAAACCAGCCAGGCATGTCAGGGAGCAACTTAGTCAAGACACAGGATTAGATATGAGGGTGGTGCAAGTTTGGTTCCAAAATAGGTGTGTATTACTAAACACAAAAATTATTACGAATCGAAGATTACATTATGTTCACACTCATGTTTGTATTTTCATTTCAGGAGAGCAAAAGAAAAGAGACTTAAGAAAGATGCAGGTAGGACTAGGTGGAGTCAATACTTCAGATCTATGAAGGGTGGATCTTCGCCTAGGCACGACAAACTATTAGATAAAGACGAGATGAAGGTAGACCTAGACAGCTTTAGTCATCATGGTGAGTTTCTGATCTTTATCTAGAAGATATTGGAAGTGGATCGAGCTCAAAAATTTCACACCTAACATCTCGACCAATTATAAATGTATTTAATGTAGTTATTACCATAGCAACTAAACACATTTCTAGAAATTTGCTTCTCCTTGTTTGAAAGGAGCATGAGATTTCACTGGAATATTTTTACGTTCATAGGTAAAATCACCTTTACATTTTACTTTAGATTACGTCGAATTCGTTCTATAAGTTGATAAGTTCCTTGTAAGAAATTATATTTCCACCAACTTTAGCTGAATGAATGTGTAAAAAACTGTGGGATGGAGCTACTATCGACATATTTTGATAATACTACAAGCAAATTTCATTGATACTAAATTGTAATTCGAATTTTTTGTGAGAAGACCAACTTTAGTAAAATGCATTTATGGAAAACTGAGAAATTGAGATACTATCGACCTACTTCTTATTATTTTGTGTAACTAAAGTAAGTTAATTGTGTTTTATTCAACCTAAAATATTATCGACATAAATTATATCAAAACTACAAACTGTCGAGTTCCTTGTAACAAAGTATATGTCCACCAACTTTAGTGGAATAAATTCAGTCAGGAATGGTAGTTTGAACTACCACCAGTTGCCTTATCAATATTTTGCGTAACTGAAGTCGGTATTTTGTATTCTATTTAGAGTAATCTCATCCTAGTATTTTTTCGAATATCGGAAATTTTCTAACCGAATTCATTCTAGAACTCGAATATTTATAAAATTAGTGTTCTTCTCGAAAAAAATTCCGGTGATAATTGGAGCTCTTGTGGTATTATAAGTGAATATTTCTTGCAATAGTTTCCGTCTCTTACATCCACTACAGTGGCCCTGACTCGACTTTTTCATAAAGTGCGGTTCCAGAGCAGTGTAAGTCATATTGGATCAATTTAAAAGCCATTTCAACTAAAAAGTCACTTCCTTCGAGATATTGCTAATGAAAAATTTATTTTCTCTGGGCCAAATTCTCAATGCAAATGTTGATCCCTGCAAGGAACATGCAGATAACTTTGAATATTCAGTTCGAAGTAGGTGTCTTAGTTGATTGTTCGAGGTTATGTCTGAATAAATTTCTTAATTTCACCAGTTTATATATATTCTACACTACTCATCCTCATATCATGCAACTGATAGAAAATCAAGTATAGTTTAATTAGTGCCAATACTCTGAGGAATTCGAGGATTGTCTGCAGTATCATTCTATCTCCTCAGTTATATTATATTTATCTACCCGCTGAATCGGAAGTAGAGACATTTGATCCCTGATTCCAAAAATGTGGAAGGTGAAATGTATTGGCACCATCATGCTTCGTTTTGGCGTTAATGGAGATGGACATCAAACCACATGCACGGGAGAAAAAAAGGATACCTCTGGTATATAAATAGCTATTATTTTTCAGATCTCAGTGATGATAGTTACGGAACAGTAGTTAATATGGGAATGGACCAAGATGTATCATCACCGCACAATGGCATAGGAAGACCTTCGTTCCTCCACGGGACGACATCTCCATCTTACCTACCTGGACACACGCCACCCCATGGTCATGACCATTTTCCGCCTTACTCCGATCAATTGTCAGTGTACGCTAGTTTAGGTAAGATGAATTCTCATGAAGTAAATTCCTATGATTTATCTATAAACGTGGCGAAATGAAACTGGAAAAAAACTTTTTCAAAATGTAACAGGGCTGAAGGTATTTTTTTTCTACGGCTATAACACAAAATGTTGTTGTACGGTGTTCGACAAATCAATGAGGTACTTTGAATTTCATCAATTTTCCGTATCTGATATCACAAAAATCGAAGTTTCCAAAATTCATGAGAATCTTCAAAGGTTTAACTTCAAATATTTGTAGACGGGTTTTTTTTGGAATGCGAAACCTGAATACGGACAACTTTTAACTGTGACCATTAGAAGGCGCTCACCAAATGTACTTTAGAATGGCCATAACTCTTTTCTCAGTGTAATATGTTAATTTTCTCATTGAGGAAATAATGTTTTCAACATTTTTAAGCATAAAATGTTTCGTTATGGAAATCCGCTAAAGCAAGCCTATTCAAAGAGATTTCGGTTTCAGGTTTCAATACTCTTTTGAAGTGTACTTGTCGATTTTTATTTTGTAACTTCACCACTCTGTTTCTCAGAAACGAGCAATTTCGGACTGAGGCAGGTTGCTTCAAATCGGCTTATTTGGACCTCAGGAATTTGTGCTGAGATTTTGCATAGAACTTTTATGGATACCCCGTATATGCGTTTCAGTACTCTTGTTATGTGATGTACTACAATTGACACCCTTAACGATAAGATCCTCTCCATTGACTTTTTATCAAAACTGCACTGAATTGCCTACAAGTAATGCTATTCATTGATGACAATTATTTTTGGCAATTATCATTTGAAAAACCAATAGTTCATTTCATAACATGCACCCACGTTCCTAGAGAATCATATATACTACAGAATCTCTTGAATCGATTGAATATTTGAGTGAATCCAAATACAAATATCCAAATATTCAATCTATGGTTTATATGATTATTTAATCAGCCACATCCTTATCGAAGGATCCCAAAGACACTAATGAGAGATAACTCGAATTAATTTTACAGGTCAAGGTGGTCCAGGTATGTCGTTGGTTCACAACCTCCCTCCAGGTGCAGACACTGACATCAGCAACGACAGTAGCCCCAGGGGGTACCCAGACTTTCCTCCCAGTCCCGACTCCTGGCTTGGTGAACCGTCCAGTGCACACTACTGACCCCCCTTCACCCCAAAAAATATCAATGAAGTAGAGATGATAATCGATCTTCTCGCCCGAAGCTATGCTTCCAAAGACATTCCAAAGATTTTTCATTCGTGTATCATACATGTGTTGATGTGCACAATACTCGGTCAATTTCAAATTATTGTACAAAGTAGTGTTTTACTCAAATATTGAAATTGGCTGTGATAATGAAGGTTCTGTTGATGGGGATTCGTTTCTTTTCTCACATTAGGTATTCACTATCGTGATCACTTAGAATCCATCTCAGATCTGCAAGATATCTCGATTAAACATCTCCCAAGTGTAATATAATTCAGAAAAAACAGTTTTGCTTCCTCAAGAACATAACATATATTTATTTTTCTGTGACAAGAAAAAAGTTTGGCATTTCATCTCTGTTGGCAGGTTATAAAATGTCACTTTTCATAAATTACTTTTTCCCTTGGGAAAAAGTAAGTACTTTTTTCCCGGATATATATCACATATATATACACTGTTGATGGCTTTGGTTGTGCTATGGTTCCGAAAAATGAGTCAATAATACCGTCTCCGAGGAAGAACTGCAAGTCCTTCTATCTTCCATTCGACTTCGCGGTTACGTATATTACTAAACAACCACTAAATTCGCAATTTTTTTAAATCAAATCACAGAATTAGACTGACAGAAGTGACATCAGATATTTGATAACTTCAAATGAATGATAAAGATGCCTACAACGCAGGTGTCCCTACTGTTAAAAACTCAAAATTTCACGTCGATAATTTTCAATATTGATTCGTCCTTTTTTCTGTCACAGAAAAAAATAGTACATTACGGGAAAAATATTGGATTTTAGCTCACGGTTTCTTGTCTTGTGACAACACAACCTGGTAAAATCTACTTCTTTTTTCCCTTGTGTAATAAATAACTATTGTATGACTAGTAAGAAGCTTCAATATAATCATTAACAGGTTTTACAAAATTATCGCATGAACTGTTTAGAAAGACTGGCCAGAATGCAAATCTTGCATCTGAGAAAACTTCAAGCACATTATTCCCTTGTGTCCAACTCAATACTCAACATTTGTTGGGCCCAACCCAAATAATATTTCTTGAATTGTTCTGTATTATCATTATGACCATTGTACGATCTAAAATACTCAAAATAAAAATGAAAATTCATTAGTAAATTTATCAGAATGGAAATTATATTAGGAATATCTCATTGGTCAGAGTATCTTCTAAAGTATATCATTAGATATCTTACTCATACTTCTTGTTATGAACTTTGCTATCACCTTGTTTTGCAAATATTGATTCTAATAGATCAAATACTTTGGAAGTGAATTTCAACTTTTGCATTCAGAATATATAGCTCGACTTTCAATTTCGTGTAGGAGAAATTTTTAATCGACGAAGTTCCATAGATCTAGTTGAAGTTTTTCAACATTCGATAGATATCGCATTAGATCAAACAATTCATTCCTGCCGATTATTGAAAGGCTTCTAGTTCCATAAATACTAATTTCATATGGAGGAGTTGTGCAACTTATTTTGAATAATTTGTCAAGAAAATTATATTTGACATATGTATCAACTCAAGTTATTTTGTTTAATGATAACCATAATGATATTCTCTCAATCTGAATCAACTGAAATTTTCCACTATAAGAGAACTGAATAAGTAAACATGCATTCTTTCGAAACACTTCAATTCTATAGAATGCATGTTAACTGATTTAGTTCAAGTGGGATATTTCATTTAGTTCAGCAGAAAGAATATCACTCATATTGAATGTCAATTTCATTGCATAAAAAATTTGTATACGGTTCCATATGTATAATTGAATAGGCTGAAATAGCACTAATATCCATAATGTAACTCACAAAATGTTTGAATCTAAATTTTAAAATGTATCGCGTTCTAAAAATCTTGAATCAGCAGCAGCTGTTGAATCTGATGATAATGAAATGATTTGAAGTAGAACTCAAAAAACTGAAATTTGTTGCAAATTAAAATGTTTTTTCATTTCAAGAATCTCTGTGATAGACTTAAAAAAAATTCACCTCCTATATCAGGTATCTTTTGAATGACAAAGAGGATGTGAAAAACTGATATAATGCAGGAAGGAATCTTCCTTCTTATGAATTGTATATTTTTCATATTTCTGATGGTGTCTGCTATGTGTGAAAAGGAACTGGATTATCCAACTAGATATTGTTTTGATCTTCGTGAGAAGACGTGTACAGTACTGTTCTAGTCAAAGAGATCATGAAGCTGATGATAAGTGTCTGTTTTAATATTCTAGTCGTCAAAAGTATTTATTTTTATTTATTATTCATTGTGTTATTCCTTTAAATCTCAGGGGGTGAGTAGTAAGAAAAATGGAATAGAATTTTATTTACCCCTGAGTTTGGTTGATGAATTACCTAAGATTTATTAGGTGTTTTAAATCTTAAATGTATTGACAACAGAAAAAGTGTTTTTAGTGCCCAGTTTGATACCGTAGAAACTAGACACTGGTAGTTCAGCGGGACAAATGGGTGGGTACGTTAGGCTTAGTAAAATACTAAGTTTGATAGGGATGAATATGCTTTTAATCACAATTAAATTCTGAAATGACAAATAATGTGCTCCAAATGATACTATAGTTGGCTCAAGACTTCCAAAGTAACTGAGTATCAATAGTAATATTACCTGAACAGTGTACAATTATTGCAACAACAAGAAATATAAATTGACTGACTGAAATCAACTCTTCAGATCAGTGTAAAATAGTACAATCACTGCTCAAAATCAACTCTCTGAGACAGTATGATAATATATAGCTTATTAATCAACAAAATAACTCAGTAAATCAGTATCAATGAGACAAAAGAAATAATAAGGCCTATTTTACCGCAGTGCACTTTTGGTTTACAGGGGTATATTTTGTAGCTATACTGAGTGTCTATTAAATCAATGTCATGTTGCAATTATATTATGTTGAATGAAATTTAAAACTGATGAATTATGGTTGGTGGTAGTTTATCCCAAGTAAAATACTATCCTTGGTGGTGCATGGAACGAACTCACCAAATTATGAGCAGGTCCTGATGTGTATCATCTGGCTCTGATGTACAGGGGGATCAGGTGAAGTCAGGCAGCGTTGTCAGGTGGTGTCTCCTGTGTGTCGCCCTTCAGCCACAAATGAGCAGGCCCCAAAAACGCGAATTGACGCAGCGAAGCGTTGACTGCCGACGACTATAAGACAGTCCCAGGTCCGAGCTGATGGGGCGCAAAACTTGAGTGCGACAGTCGGGAGAGGAGGCTTTGGCCCGATAAAAGGAACCCTATATGGAATGACGACAATCGTGCGTTATTTTACCAACACAAGGAATGACAAGAAAATAGCAGCTGATGATTAAAAGAATATATAGTACCTTGGATGTTGTGTGGGTTCCAGAAGTGGTGATGCAGGTCGGCTCGGCCACGTGGATTTCAGCCACGAAGAATCCCTCTATAGAGGCAACAGGAATCCCATCATCCCAGCGATGATAATGGATATCCCAAATTTGAGATCTTTTCCTAATTAATCCCAACACTAAGTAATGGAAAATCGAATATTAGACAAATTCGAAATTATTCAAGAAACAGATCTCACGGCTTACTTTTGTGACCAGGCTGGTAGACTGCTGCAGACAAAATGGTGCCTATGAAGATCGAAGGGGCTGTCCTTGCCACATCTCACCGGAAGATCACCCTTTTTTTGTGTATCTTCCCCTATACTCCCACACACATCAATCACCGGACGATATAAAATTATAGGCGGGAGATATCCCCGCGAACACCCTGTACATGGCATTTCTACCTCACCATGGTAGTGAAAACTATGTCGATAATATCAAGAGAGGTGTCTAGACCATCAGAAAAGAAGGAATATCATTAAATCACCATTTATTTCAAGTCAGAATATATTATTGCCAGTTATTATTGTTTGGATTTGAAACTTCAAATATTCAAACGCGGTCATGCGCAACTGAGGATCATTGTAGACCTGAATAGTGGGGCGAAATACGTCATCATCTTCTTCCCGTGCGATGACCCTTTATCACCATGTAACATAACCCATAACGCCCATACTTACAAGGAATTAGTGCCAAATCAACAAACAGGTACATAATGGCGAAGATACAGAGTGCCAAATCATCATAACAAGATATGGTGCTGATTGTGAGCCGTTAGAGCCCGTATTCGTGATGATAGCAAGGGAACTATGGGTCAATGTTCCATGATGACAATGTCGAAAATTCGAGAAGATGCATGCAGAGGTTCGCAAATAGTGGTCATCCGTCATTAGTGTCATTACCGTCAATAGAGACTAAACGTCATCAAGCTGACAGTGACATTTTCAATAATTACAATAATTACATAACAATGATATTTATTTGGAAATATAACGGCAACAATAATTACAAGAATGATATACTCGAAATTCAAGATGAAATTTGGCGAAATACCTGTGGACTGAATCAGTCATGTGTGACAATTCCAGGAACCAACTACCTACCTACCAAAATTTGTAAACAAAACATTCTGACCAAGAGGTATGCAATAACGATAACTAGTAGGCTAAAAATCACAATATAATTCCTTATTTACAGCAAAAATTGAGTTAGAATCAATAACAACGAACAGAGAAATACCAATCGATAGCCAGCAGTAAACATCACAGATGAATTCAATTATGAACCAATGAAAAAAAAGAGAGTGAAAAGTAGGTAAACAATAATGCATAGCTCTGTTTTCTGCAGTATTTTCATAACGTCATGAACGAAGTGTAACACTCCCCCTCTACCCCGAAGAGATTTACCTGTAAATCTCAAATAAAACGAAAATACTGTCTGCTATGATATGGGTTCATATTGAATTCAGGAATGACCGTCCTCATCATCAGATGGCTGATCAGGTGGATGAGACTTGATGTCCTGAACATGCCAAGTGCCTTTCGACTTGTTAGAGCTGTCTACAATT